CTGGACTCTGACCTGCAGCCTCACAGTTCTGGACTCTGACCTGCAGCACTTCTTTGGAACAAAACAGATTTTTTGTTGCTCTTTGCAGAAAGAGATAAAAACGTGAATAAGATTGAAAATGTCAGAAGTCAGCTGAAATTAGAAAGATGTTCATTTGTGTCTTTATAATAAAGTCTTGTTTAAACACGAAGCGTTCGTTCTTTCTCAGAGTCGAGTGTCGGCTTGCAGCGGCTTCCATCGAGGGATCGCTCTGGTTTATAACCAAACTGGTTCTACTGGTTTAACTCTGTTAAAAGCCACACTAATAGCAGTTTGATGATTTATTTGATCCCAGAAGTGATTCCATGTAGTTTATATTGTGTTCGCTGACACGTCCACCTCTTCTCATCACTCATCATCCTTTTACTGTTCAGGGCTGCAGGTCTTAAGAGATGTTCTTATTCCCTCAGGGGTCCCCACAGTAAATGAGCTCCCTCTGCAGATCCTCCTTCACCTGTGAACCTTCTCTTTTGTTCCTCCTCCTGTGGAGCTGCACGTTCAGCGTTCTTTGTTCGGCAGCTCCTGTTGATGTCCAAACCATTTCAGCCAAACCAAACATCAGGGTTCACTTCCATTTTGTAAACTCACCTTCCACTCTTGCTGCTGTCCTGTTGGGCGGCTGTGGCTGAGTGGTTAGAGCAGTCGTCCTCCAATGGGAGAGTCGGTGGTTCGATTCCACCAGCAGTCACATGTTGAAGTGTCTCTGGGCAACACACTGAACCCCTCATTGCCTCCGATGTGTCCCATAAGTGGATGAATGTGATAAAACTCTGATTATCCTTTGTAGAGATCTAGTATAGAGCTGTGTGGATGTGTGTGGAGGTAAACGAGGCACAGATTGTTGTAAAGAGCTTTCAGTGTCTCGACTAGATGGAGAGGAGCTATGTAAGTCCAGTCCATTTAACATGTACATCTGTCACAAATCACACCTGACGCTGGTCCTGATCCTTCCCACCCTGCCTGCGCTCTCTTCCCCTCTCTGGATGACCGAACCCAGATTTCTAAACTCATCCATATTTACTCCTCTCCTCCTCGTAACTCCACTGCTCCACCTTTCTCGTTCACACACATATTCTGTCTCGCTTCTACTGACTTTCATTCCTCTTCTCTCAGCAGCATACCTCCACCTCTCCAGACTCTCTTCCACCTGCTTCCTGCTCTCACGGTGATGCTGTAAACCATTTGAACAACCTGTAAACTTTCTGACCTGGTAACAACAGCATGAGAAGATCGTCTTAGCTGCAGTATTGCTTAATCTCTACATCTCTTTTCTTTGGCATCTTAGAATGATAAAGAATTCCCGTATCATACAATATATATATATATATAAAGTAACAAACCTTTTTTGTTTGTGCTGACCAAAACATAAGGACTTTCTTTTATCTTTTTGAATTTCTGCAACTACAACAAAGTAGATCGTAAAATGCACACCTGTTTAATCTTCCAGTGGAAGAACAGCTAATGTCAGGTAATTATGGCGGCCAGGGACTCTTGGCTTGAAAAACGCAGTGGCCATTGATGTCTGAAGCTTTTGTAAAGTGGGGGGACACACTGGGGGGGCTCTAGGGGTCCTCCCCCAGAAATGTTTTAATAAAGTACATGCTTTTTCCTGCATTCTGGTGTATTTTAACGGGTTGTTAAACATTTACATTTACCTACATAAGTAAACACTTGATTGAGTAACTATTTTAGAGTTAATGGCACAACAAGAAGTAGCGCTAAGCTAGCGGCGTGCAGTACAGATGAGCTAGCTAAGATGCTACAGATGTAACGCTCTGCTTTACATTACACAACCTAATAAATGCTTTGAACAAAATCAGTTTACCGTCAACTGATTATAACAAACAAAGATTAAACATGTGCAACCAGAAGTTACAACATAAAACACACAAAACGACGCACCATTAACCTTTAATTTAACCATTAATCATACAAAGTAATTGTGACAGAAAATTGGGTATTTATTTGCAGTTTCCGTCATACAGACGAACATGTGGTACTTCCTGTTGATCACTGTTGTATTCAGCTGACCATGAGGTGGGCCTCTGGCCTGTAAACAGCTTTTGCATTTTTCCAAACTCCGTTTAGGTTTAGGAAATGCAATAAACTGTATTCTAAACAGTCCAAGTAACGCGGGCTGAATTACACGCTCTCCACTGACACCACGTGTTTTTCTGATGATTTTCCACAAAATCCCTCTGAACACAAAGTGTTCGTGATGCAAAACCCCGATAACGTTGTTGGAAGAAAAGGGGTGGAGCTCCTGCAGGTACGGGCGTCACGTCAGAGCACATTAAGATCGCTGATTGGTCAGTTGCTGACATGCCTGCTGGATTGATTGACAGGTGGCGTCGAGGAGCCGACTCATGCAAAAAAATAAAATAAATGTAAAAAAGTCACATTTTACTGGCCCGTTTTTAAGACTGTTTTCATTTATTCTATTTTTATTACAAACTTGTTTGTTGGTTTTTTTTTTTTAAAGTTGTGAGAACTGAGTTTCTTACAACATCCTAATGATGGTTTCTTTATTTTTCAACTGTGCTAAGTTAAAATTTAGGGGTGCTTGAGCACCCCCCAAAAAGAGGCTACAATCAGTGGTGGTGGCCATATTGAACAGTGCTGACGTGAAAAGTTAATAGTTGTAGATGCGCTCCACCTGCGTGTACCCCAGGTGCAATGGGTTAAAAGCAGATAATTAATTTCATTATTGTATGGGAACATACAATGATGACAACACATAGCACTTATTTTTATGTACATGAGTGATTGCTCTTTGAGAGTTTCTTTAAACCACGCCCAGTGCTTCATGGGATATTTTGCTAATACTGCAGATACGCATGCATCCCCATAGATACAGGCAACATTATTGCCCGTTCGCTTTCAGCAAGTGATAAACAACTGACTGTGTGCATGAATTTAAAAAAAGTTTTATTGTTCCATAATGTTTAGACTGTTAATCTGTCGTACAGAGGAATATATTCACCGTGTATATGTCAGGAATTAGAGCCGTCCTCCCCCTGGAGAGTCGGACCTGCAGCCAAGCAGGTTTGCAAACATGTTCTCTGGCATCCTTGCTGTTTGTTTGCTTGTATCAACAATAATGTACAACTTATTTAATCTGAGGGGAAAAGGAACAAATCACGATTTTAATTAGCCGTCCTGCCTTCCCTCCGGCAGCTGGACAAACACTTTTTGGTAAGTATGGCGTCAGCGCTGCGTGTTTGTCCGCTCCGCATCCTGCTGGCCCTCACCAGCCGGCACCACGAGGCCAGATTCACTAAACTGGGACAAACTCGTGGAGGCCACGGCCAGGCGCTGACCTCGCCTTATTCCAGATAAAGGACCGTTCTCCCTGAACAGATGTTTGAATGGCTGCATGGCCGTTTCCCTTTTACTCCTGGTCTTGTTAGTGATTGAATGACTTTGCTAGCATTTAGAAACTACGTTTGTAAAGTTGACCTAAAGTGAAAAATGTAAGACACATTTACAGTCCAGACCGTGGTAAAGGTTTTATTCAGGTATTTTATAACTATTTGCACATTTTGTGTTAAATCAGTTCATTAGCTTTGTATTTCAAAAGCATCAAAGCATTGTTCAACTGTCTACTCAAGATTTTCTTTTTTCTTTTGGTTTTTGGGCACTATGGCCTTTATTTTTTAGTGCTAAATACAGAAATGTGGACTGAGAGAGACGACAACAAGAAGCATCAAGTTGTGATCAACCCCTGCAACGAAGACCTGTACTGGTTACTTCCCCGACGTTAAAGCTTCAAGGCTCTTTATTGTCATTTGCATCACATTTGGTACATGAGGTGGTAAATGGACTGTACTTATACAGCACCTTTCTATCTTATTTCAAGATACTCAAAGCTCTTTACAACAATCTGTGCCTCATTGACCCATTCATACAGCTCTATACTAGATCTCTACAAAGCTAAGTGAACAAATCATTCTAAAGAGACTAATCAGAGCTTTATCACATTTATACACCGATGGGACACACATCAGAGACTATGAGGGGTTCAGTGTCTTGCCCAGGAACACTTCAGCATGTGACTGCTGGTGGATTCGAACCCCCAACTCTCACATTGGAGGACGATTGCTCTAACCACTCAGCCACAGCCGCCCAACAAAACTGTACTCAAGGTTCTAGTCACACCTAAAAATAGCAAAAATATAAAGTATAAAAATAAACAGTACAAAAGGATATAGTATATACACTAAATAATGATAATGTAATATATTATGGTGTATTAAACAGCAGCCCGAACATGAGTCTGTGGTGAGCAGATGGGTATGAATACAGCAGCACAAATAAAGTCACATAAAATCAATTCAAATGGCATCACAGTGATTATTCTAGTTAGAGATTCATGAGTCTAACAGCCTCAGGGTAGAAGCTGTTCCTCAGTCTAGTGGTTCTAC